AAACCTTTATAGAATTTGGATATGACACCTTTATTTGAGCCACCTTGATAAGTGTTGCAGCCTTGACATTTCATGTTTTAAATATTTAGGTTTAAATGTTTAATGCTTAGATATGTATTTTGTTTTTGTACTTTTTGTTGTAGTTGCCTTGGTTTACATTGGAGAGGAACAACAGTAGCGGAAAAACTGAACTGTCCGTTTAAGGCGAGGGTCGTGTGATTGTGGGAAAGGGGTTTTCCGTTGATGTTGAAAAAACAAAAAAAAAGAGTGTCGTAAAGAGTAGAAATCGGGACACTGCCTGTATTGTTCGGTAAAAGAAGTACTGCAAAATAGATGGCTGAAAAACGCTGAATTATTAAATCAGTTCAAAAAGTAAAGAACCAGAGTCACTTTGATCGTTTCATACCCGTCAAGGGTGTAACATATTTGGTGTTTCCGCCCGGTTCGCGTCGTTCTCTCAAGCAAAGTGGTGAAAGGGAAACCAGCTGGATCGCATGGACATGAACATATGGTGAGGGAGAAGACGCTAATGGCAAAAAGACCCGACAGTATTCCGACGGCGACGAGGTAAAAGACGGTCATGTCTGACTCAGAGGTAATGTCACCAGAGTGGGAGAGTACATTCAGGGAGATAGAAGAGAAACTGATTTTGCTGTCTGCTGCGGAACTGATAGAAATGTGCGCAGCATTTAACATTACTGTTAATGAAAGTGANACATTCAGGGAGATAGAAGAGAAACTGATTTTGCTGTCTGCTGCGGAACTGATAGAAATGTGCGCAGCATTTAACATTACTGTTAATGAAAGTGACAAAACTCTGTCTCGAAAGTTGAGGAGGCTTGTTTTGCAGTATTTAGAAGGGACTGAAGTAACTTCGCTTGAAGATGGGGGAATGTCCATTTTGTTGAGAGCAAACGATCGCATTCACGCGATGAGGGCGACCCGTGATCGCGGTGGAGAATCTAGTTCTGATGAGATCGTCAGGCGCAACCGCGAGGCAAACGAAGGTATGGCAAACCGAAACAACACTGAATCTGTACTGATTCCAGGAACAAACCAGACAATAATTCAGCAAATGTTTCGAAGGGATTTTAAAATTGTTGGCCAAATTGGGGAGCCAAATCAGAAGAATAAATTGAGTTATTCAAGTTTGGAAAGACAAATTCAGGGGGCATTAAAAAAGGGGTATGATGAAAGTGAAATAGTGGAAGCTGTTATACAAGCTATAACTCCAGGACTGAAGCTGAAGAGCTACCTGGAAAGTCGAACAGATTTGACTTTGGTTGCCTTGCGACAAATTCTAAGGACACACTATATTGAGAAGGACGCCACAGAACTGTACCATTCACTTACTCGCGCAGTGCAGGAAATAAAGGAAACCCCAAGTCAGTTTTTAGTGCGAGCTATGGATCTGAGGCAGCAGGTTCTATTTGCTTCAGAGAGAGTGCACACTGGACTGAAATACACCCCTGAATTGATCCAAAGTCAGTTCCTCCAAACAGTGTTAACAGGACTTCAAGATGACACAATCCGCACAGATTTAAAGCCATATCTAAGTGATCCACAGACAACAGATGAGGTTCTGCTGGAAAAACTGAATGCTGCATACAGCTTGGAAATGGAAAGGAAGAACAAAATGTTAGCTGTGGCAAAAACTAGGATGCTGAAAGTAGCGTCAGTAGGTGAAGAAACAAGTGAGAGTATTGTTCCAGGCTGTCACCAAGAGCTTAATGAAAGACAAGCGAAGATTCAAAAACGTGACACTTTGATGGAAAAGGTAGATGAAGGAAATAAAGCCATCTGTGAAGCAATTCAAAATCTTACTGCACATATAGCAACCCTCAGTCACACTTCTGCGCTTCAAGCATCAAAAGCAAGTGGACAGTCAGCTAGAAAGTTTTATCCACAAACTGGGGCCAGATATAACAAACAATGTAAGCAATGTGAAAAAGATAACCCAGGTGGGAAGTGCACCCACTGCTATAAGTGCGGGAGCGCAGAACATTGGGCAGCAGGCTGTCGGAAGAGACTAATGACAACGGCCAATTTAAATAAAATTGACATATCATCCTCTGTTAGAGGGAAGGCAAACTCAGTGGACATATTCCATACTACTATTCCCCCGTCTGGTAAACAGCAGCGAGTTACGAGACTGGTGGGAAAAAGGTGTCTCGTTCAAGGCTCTTTAGGGGGTGTCGCCACTTCAGTATTGTGGGACACTGGATCGCAGGTGTCCATTGTCAGCAGTGAGTGGAAAAGAAAATACCTGCCTGAGGTTGAAGTGAGGCCTGTGAGGGATCTGGTGGAAGAGGGAGGACTGATCCTCTCTGCTGCCAATAAAACACGCATCCCGTATGAGGGTTGGATGGGAGTGGAGTTTAGGCTGTCCAAGAGTACACTAGCTGGGACAAGCGATAGCCCACTCTGGGTACCCATCCTCATTGCTAGCACCGACATGGAACGTCCCATTATTGGATTTAATGTTATTGAAGAGTTGGCACAGAAAGCTGCTGCGGAATCGGATACACCCTCTGGCTCTATGGTACAGAGACTGTGCTCAGCACTGGATGTGGGTCGGAAAAGAGCAAGAGCTATTTTATCAGTGTTAACCAAATGCCAGCCCGACCATGATTATCACATCGCCAGGACAGGACGTCTGCCCACTGTTGTACCCAAGCATCAGTCAGTGAGTGTGAGTTGTGGATATCTGAATAGTAGTGTCATGAACAGAACACATGCCGTGTTAGAACCAAACCAAGATGAGCCATGGTCAGTAGGGCTCGTGGTCCGAGAGCAACTTATCCAGCTTCCGACAGAGGAGAAAGGACAGATTATGGTAACTGTTGAGAACGTAACAGACAGAGATGTAAGTTTGAGTGGGCGTACTGTTCTGGGTGGGTTGCATGCAGTTGATTCAGCTTATCCCCCGCCAATCATGTCACCCTCATGTGCAGAGCCCCGGACAGTGGAAGACAGTAACGAGACTAATCAAGTGAAGCAGGCAGGCCAGCCCACACACAGTGAGCCATGGGATCCTCCAGTGGATCTAAGCCAATTACCAGAAGATCAACGACAGCAAGTACAGCAGATGTTGAGAGAAGAGTGTAGCGTGTTTGCTAAGGATGACTGGGACATGGGGTGCATCTCTGACTTAAAGATGGATATACAGTTGAAAGATAATATTCCTGTCCAGAAAACATATAACACCATCCCTAGACATCTCTACCAGGAAGTCAAAAACCACATCCAAGATTTACTGAATCAGGGACTGATTCAAGAATCATATTCTTCATACTCATCACTAGTAGTGTGCGTCAGAAAAAAAGATGGTGGTCTACGTTTATGTGTGGATTACAGGCAGCTGAATGAGAAAACATTAGCTGACCGACACCCCATCCCTAGAATCCAGGAGATCTTGGATAACCTGGGGGGCAACTCATGGTTCACGGGGCTGGACCAAGGTAAAGCGTACCACCAAGGGTTTGTGGGAGAGAGCAGTAGGCCATGCACTGCATTTATCACACCTTGGGGTTTGTATGAGTGGGTCCGGATTCCATTTGGCCTCACAAACGCGCCAGCTGCTTTCCAGCGGTACATGGAAGGATGTTTGAGGGACCTGAGGGATAACATCTGTGTCCTTACCTAGACGATGTGTTGGTGTTCAGTGCAGACTTCAGCCAGCATGTAGAACATGTCAGGAAGGTGCTCAGGCGACAGCATGAATGTGGCATCAAGCTGAAACCAAGGAAATGTGTGTTCTTCAAGCCTGAAGTGTGTTATGTGGGTCGCATCATCTCAGCAGATGGACACAAGATGAATCCAAAAGAGGCAGAAGCAGTACGAGCTCTAAAATATGAGACACCATCCATAGTTCGTGAAGTGAGGAAGTTACTGGGTTTCCTGAGTTACTACAGGCTGTATATACCTAACTTCTCTCGGACAGCGAGATCTTTGTACGCACTTTTGGCAAAACCTCAGACTGGATCAAAACAGAGGAAAAAGGGGAAAGGTAGTGGCCATCAACCAACCCAGTTGCCACCGTCCCATCCAGTTGAATGGACTGAGCTTCACAGAAAAGCCTTGTCAGAGATAGTAGATTGCCTTTCAAATCCACCGGTAATGGCATATCCTGACTTGGAACAGCCCTTTGTACTACACATTGACGCATCTGAAGATGGCCTTGGAGCTGTATTGTATCAGCAGCAGGACGGGGTCCTGAGGGTCATCGCTTATGGATCCAGGACACTGACAACAGCTGAGAGGAATTATAGGTTGCATTCAAGCAAACTAGAATTCTTGGCTCTCAAATGGGCTGTCACAGAACGTTTTCGTGGTTATTTGTTTCATGCGCCACACTTCACAGTGTACAGTGACAATAACCCGTTAACTTATGTCACCAAAACGGCAAAATTGAATGCCACAGGAATTCGCTGGGTTGCTGAATTGGCAGATTACAGATTCACTTTGAAGTACAGGCCTGGGTCAGCAAATGCAGATGCGGATTTCCTCTACCGGAGACCAAAACCAATTGAGGAGATTATACAGGAATACACCGAGGAACTTCAGCCTGGGGTGTTGCAGTCACTGAGTGAAGCGCAGAGCATGTCAGAGAGAGGTGAGATTAACTGGATATCGGCTGTGACATGCAATGTGGATGCTCTGTATAAAGACATCAGAGACACTGTATCCATTCAGCCTCTGAAGATGGAGGACATAAAAAATGCACAGAGCACAGATCCGGTGATAAGCCGAGTGGCGATCCTGAAAGGAACATGCAGTCACCTGAGGCACAAAGCCAGGTTGCAAGAAGGAATGGCCGTACAACGAGTCCTTCGAGAATGGCCTAAATTATGGTTAGATGCAGACGGGATTTTGTGGAGAAAAACAGCGTCCAGAAAACAGTTGGTGATTCCAGAGTCACTCAAACCCACCCTTTTCAAGCACCTGCATGAAGAGATGGGACACCTGGGTGTCGACAGAACGGTTGCGTTAGCTCGAGAACGTGTCTTCTGGCCGAAAATGAGAGAAGAGATAGAACATCACATAACTAAGGTATGTCGATGTATAAAAAAGAAAAAACCCCACAGACAAACTAAGGCACCTCTCCAGAGTATTGAATCATCCGCTCCTTTTGAAATTATTTGTATTGACTACCTTCATTTAGAGAGGAGCAAGGGGGGTGAAGAATACATATTGGTAGTGGTAGATCATTTCACGAAATATGCTCAGGCATACGCAACCAAAAATAAATCTGGCAAAACTGCAGCACGCAAGCTCTTTGATGATTTCATTACACGTTTTGGTTTTCCCTCCAAGATTCATCATGACCAGGGGAAAGAATTTGAAAATGACCTGTTTCACAAATTGCAAACTTTTTGTGGAATCCAACATTCACGCACGACACCATATCATCCCCAGTCAAACCCGGCCGAACGTTTCAATAGAACCCTGCTGAGTATGCTGCGTACATTGGAGGAGACTCAGAAATCCAGATGGAAGGAACACCTGAATAAGGTAGTTCACGCGTATAACTCCACTGTTCATGAGGCAACAGGATTCTCTCCATTCTTCCTTCTGTTTGGGCGGGAACCTACTCTTCCAATAGACCTGGTGCTCCCCCTGACAGATGAAAGAA